AAAGAGCATAATGTTTATGAAAATACAGCTGCTTGGGGAGTTCTCAAAAAACACAAAGGAGACAGCAGTATGCTGGCAGCTGGGCTGCAGAAGCCATGACTCAAATCAAGATGCAGACTGCCAAGGGAAACATCACTCTCCAAAATCTGCCAGTCATTCTGGTCACAGAGACAGCAGTCAAGAACTTCCTACGGAACATTTAGTTTGCTTACCTGGCCATAAGAACTGCTGCTGCCTGAGAAACTTGGCCCACCCTAGGACAAGGACATAATTTGGTTACTTGCCTTTTGCTACGGAACTCCACCTGCATTAGGGAAAGGAAGCAACTGCTTCCTAAAGCTGTGCAGGGCAGTATGAGGAGCAGGACATGCTCCTGGCTCTCACGAGGGTGCTGAGTGCCATGATTTCACACGCTGGGATTCCAGATAAATAAGTAGTACATGGATAACACACACTTTCAGAGACAATGTGCTTTAAAGATCAACTTCTGAGGGATTGCTAAGTGCTTTTGCTGTGCCATGGCTCTCCATTTCTCAAAGGCTGCATTCTGACTGGTGACTGATTGACACTTACCTGGCCATAGGAACTGCCACCCTGAGGTCTGTAGCCCTGCAAGAAAGGCAAGAAATCATTTGCAGACAGAGCTGTGTACTCTCAGCAAAGATGCAACAGAAAAGACCAATTCCAGTAGAAGTTCCTCTGCATTTTGTTCTTTTTCCTTCATGGTATTTCAGTGGTGCAAAACAAAATCAAGGATGACTTGGCAACACCAAGAAGGAAAAAGACCCACCCACACCCCAAAGTCCATTTACCAGACAGACTCCTACAGTGCAGTTCAGAAAAAGAGCCTCACCTGGCCATAGGACTGGCTGCCTTGGGAACCCTTCAAAAAAAAGAGAAGGTAGTTATCACCATGACAAAGAGGCTTCTTTAAAGAGCATAATGTTTATGAAAATACAGCTGCATGGGGAGGTTCTCAAAAAGCACAAAGGAGACAGCAGTATGCTGGCAGCTGGGCTGCAGATTGTCTTACTTGTAGCAAAAGCCGTAACTCAAACCGAGATGCAGGCTGCCAACCTTGAGTATTTTTGGTCTTCAGTACTGCCCTGCTCCCTACAGGTCATACCTACCCTTGTGAATAGTTTTTCTGATTACATGTAGTGCTACAGACAATATTGACAGACATTTGCCTCCCTCCTACCCCCTGCTCCACAAAAGGTAGAAGTCTTGAAGAACCTTCATACTTCAGTTCATACTATAATAGTCTCAAGTTTTAGTTTGCAACAATTTGTGATGACATTATGTTAGTATTTGTGGAATTCACACACTTGTTTTTCTCGTATGTAGCTTTATAGCTTTAAGTAATGCTGAAAGACATTGCACATCAGTCCATGATTATGATTCTTCCTTATTCTTGATGTGAGTAAGCAACTACCCTTTATGTCTTTTGCAATATGAGGTCTAACATGCTTAGAATCTGAATCTACCAGTATGGGACTGATGGTGTGGTAATGAGCCTAGCATCACTTTTCCTTAGTGCCATGAGCTTTGTGCTCCTTTCAGAGAACAAACACACTAAGTGGAATTCAGTCATTTCAATTCAACCTATCACACAGGGAAATACATTTGTGAGCATTCTGAACAAATTAGTTGAACATCAATACCAGATGATAATTTTATGAACAAAAGTAAGAGAAATAGAAATATCTGCACCCTGTGAATTAAATTTTAAAATGCGGAAAATAATTTATTTCTGAGTTGCGCTGGCTTTGTTTCAGTGAAGTATAGAGGAATATTTGTAGCCTCCTTTGAGTTCATTTACCTGAGTGTAAATGCTGCTGCTGCTGCTGCTTTGCTGCCTTTGTCCACTCTACATTGGAAAAAAAAGTTACTTATTTTTAAGAGGAATTATGTACTAAGGCATTTCAAGAAGCAACTCTATCCTTTTATCTACTAGGCAGTTTGACAGTCACACAGAGTTCATTACACCTTTTCTTACTTGATGCTATCTCCATGTGATACAAAACGTATATAAAGATCCTTCACAAATAAAGTGCTAAAAGTATTTATATACTTTGATATAAATCTTCTTAAAGAAAATTCATTGTATAATACATCATTGTGTCATATTGAGGTATTTCAAGTGAGTTTTAATAATTCTGCCCTTCAGTGGTAGCACACAAACCATTAAACTCATATCCTTTGTATTAATATTATGACTGAATTTTCATGACTAAGCACAACAAAATTCTGACAAAGGCTTTGTCAAAACATGAATTGAAAAAGCCATGGTTACAATTAAACCAAAGGAAAAGTCACTGCAGAAAATATTTTGATTCCCATGAAGTATGTGGATTATGAGCAGAATCAAATATAATTTATATCTACATATTGAAGACAGTTAATATTTGTAATCAAAACACTGTACATTTATATTCAGAAATAAAATAATAAGGAAATTTTATTCCTTTCTCTGCCAGCATTCATCACTACTCATGAAAGAATATAATGCTGTACATTTTGAAAGCAGGGATTTTCAAAAGACAAATATCATCTGGGATAACCTGCCACTGATCTTTCAGGGAAAGTGAGAATTTGCTGCAGTCTAACAGACTGGCATACAAAGGAAGGGAAGCCTAAACCATTAAGAGTTGAATGTAGGTTAAAATTGCAAAGGACCCAGAAAAAACCCAGCTGCAGTGGTCTTTAATCAGCACCCAAGTAAGATATCCACTTTACTGTAGGCTCAAAAACATCCTACTCCACCACTGTAGTTATATCTAAATTATCCACACTTATTTCTTCTCTAAGAGAGGAATAATTACTTAGTTTACTGAGACAAAGTTTCATTTAAAACTCAAGTGTAATGGAGAAGAAATGTCTACCTGTACTATGATCCTTGTAGCAGAACTTCCCAAACTCTGAAAAAAAAATTCAGAAACAAAAAAACATAATACAGCACATTTAATTGTCTTGTTTGAATGCAATGCACTGGAACAGAAAATAGTAAATTTATATATACCATTTAGTTTGTGAAAATAAAGGGAAAGGTCATATGTGTGATGTATTGAATACCAGTTTTTATCACCCGGCATTGAACTAGTTTATTCTCAGCTCTGAAAGCCTGGGCTGGCAGACTGGCCCTACGAAGTAATTTTCTACACTTACATCTGCTTCTGTTACAACTTGTCTGGGGAGCAGCAGAGCACAGGCCATGCCTTTTTTGCACTAGCACTCAGCTTGGCTGTTCCAAATGTGGTGAGTGAAGCTAAGACACCACCATCACTGCAGCTCTCTCACTGTTATCTGCATCAGACATACATCACCACGCATGCAAATCCGATTCCTCACCCAGCCATTTGTTTGCTGAGTTTTGGGGCATGAGGGACAAATGCAAAGGCATAACACACCATCCTGAGAAACTGGCTTGATTCCATAAGAACTATAGCACTAATATGGAGATAATAGGAAAAAAGTATGCTTACCTGGGGGAAGGTATGACGCTGCAAGTGAAACAAAACAATTTTTACTTATTGTGCATGAGGGCTTGTCCAAACAGAACATTGCAGCAGAGAAAGGGAAAAAGGGCTCAGCCAAATGTGAAAGAACGATATTAAAAGGATAGGGTAGAACAAATGCATCTCAATCTTCATTCAGGTCGGAAAAACATGTTCCATTACAAATTTAGCACCTATAAGATACTACATCATACCAACTCACTTTAAACTCCTAAAGGCTAAACTGAGTTTCAACTGACTTATGAGTTCCAAATAAGCACAGTGGAAATTTAATAGTTTAAAAATTAGAATGGAAGTGAATTTACAAAAGAAAATTCCAATAGAAACAAAAACTATTCAGGAACACAGAGACTGAATGCATTGAGAGACCTGGAATCTGCAGCTAATCCAGTCTCTCTGCAAGTACAAACAGCAATCACAGAACCACGAGATTTATACCTAACTTATAACTGGCTTTCCCTGAAGATAATTATGCACAGAGGGTAAACTCTGCCTGCCAAATAATTATCTCCATACACCAGGAGCCTTTCTGAAAAATTAAAAATGTAGATATTTGAAAGCTTTTTGAGTCAGAATCCTCAATATTATAAAGAAAAACTGCTTACCACAGGTGGAAAAGGGTTGCTGTTGGCAACGACCACTACCTGTGGAGAAATCAGAGGAAGCTGTTTACTCATCATAGTGACTATTTAAATTGTTAAATGTTAGAAAAATGAAGAATATTGAAATCTCTATAGTTACAAACTGATAATAATGCTGTGGATGATCACTTTTATAAAAAAATTTAACACCCATTACCAAGCAAAGAAGAATATCTATGTATACATGGTTTACACAAGACTATAAAGAAATAAAAGACTTGCTCCCAACCACATAATGACTCAGCTGTAGAGGCAGAAGCAGGATTTCATGTATTGTACAACATACATTGGCCTGTACTGTATGTACTTGTTGATCTTCAACTTTCCACCCCAAACCAGAAGATTAATTTATTTTGTTGGTGTTCAATATTATGCTAAAAAAAAAAGACTTGATATTGAGTTTATTTTTAAAAAATGAAGCAAAATGCAAACACATTGAGGTGTTAATGTTTTCTCACTAGAAGTTCTCGCCACCTTCTTTTTTTTTTTTTTTTTTTTTTTTCAAACTGGAAACAGTTTGTATTATCCATTGATATGAAAAGGAAAAGGAGAGTTGGTGCTCTCGAGTAAAGAATTCTGCTATAGAACAGGAAGAATTATTAAAAAATAATTGCAAAGTATGTTTTAAATTCTTAAAACAATGGTAAATTAAAATGGATAAAAACAGCTGTGTGGACATGAATTGGTCCACTTTGTGTTTACTGAACACACCATAGTATTAGCACTGAGCTTCCTGGGGACTGAACTGAGAGGAAGAGTCCATTTAAATATGAGTCAAATTCAACAATAAAATTAATTCTATTGATTTCTCTTTCTCTGAGCCACACTTATTCTCAACCCCTAAATGAATAATAACTACATAATCTATATACTTAAAAATCCTAACTACATCACAATTGCTATCCTAACTTTTTCAAAAGAAACATGTATTTTATATACAGTTGAATCAGCTATCAGCAAGAGCCACCACAGCACAGCTAGTTAGTGTAAGACTTCTAAGTACCAAAACAAATCAAATCATATGAATCAATCAAGGTTAAAACCTTGACAAATCCTAACTGAAGTAAGGGGAGTCATGACAAGTTATAACTGCAAGAGTTTTCCCTTTCACAAGGAGAGCTTACCTTCTTACTGGAATCAGAGCTGCTTGAAGGGACAGACTGTAAAGAATACAGAATCCATTTTTTGCTTAGGTAAATGTATGGCACGTTAACTACAGCACTATTTTCCACAAGAATGTTTAGCTAACATGATTCCCTTGAAGCACCAAACAAAATAAGATTCTGAAGAACGATATGAATGTATTGGCAATTACTAAATGAACAACTGAAATAAATCCAGTAGCTTGATTTTTTTTGCTAAACACCAAATTATTTTGCTAGTTTTATAGAGCACTGTATAAAAGCTGCAAATGTTTCCTTTCATATAAAATTGGAAGTTTGTTTATATAATTGTTAGAAAAAAAAAAAATTAAGCTCTTCTACCTTCTTCAAAAAGGAAAACAGCCCAAAATTAATCCCCTCAAAATTAAAAACCCTGCAATTGCAACAGCACCTGGAAAAAATGGAATATACCATCAGAAGGTAAATGTTTTAAATGAAGCACAAAATAATGTGTAGTGAAGTTTTCCACTTCATTAACCAGTATGTACAATTGCATAGGCAAAAGCCAGAAAAAAATGCCTTTAAATCTTAGTAACTATCAAAGAAAGCACTGACTTCTGGAAAATCATAACAAAAGTAACTGGTGTGCATTTTCAGAATAAATATAATTGAGTTTTGGTGCAAAACAGAACTAAATAACTTCTAACAAAGTAGATAAAACAACATAACACCAAACATAATTCATCTGCTGAAGTTGTTTTCAGATAATGTTACTGAACCATTTGAAGACAGTTCATCTTTATCTCCTTCCATAAATTTAATTATTGTTTGGTAGAAGTTGGGCATAACTGCTAAGCTTCTGAATACCTTAGGAAACTGAAAACATGTTGGAAAACATGGAGTTACCTGGCCATAGGAAATACCACTGGATGAGGATGCACTCTGAAATAAAAACAGAGAACAGTTATTAATTCATACCAATATTTGTTAAATATATCTAGAAGTCATCCTTAGATGTACACTTCAAATGAAGCTGATTTTACCTAGGCTTGAAATAAATCTAGGGCAATAGTAAAGTATCCTGAATTTGCTTAAAGATAACTGATGTAAAAATTTCCCAAATTCTAACATGGTCATAGGATTACTGTTGCTCTATCAAAAAAGCAGTTTACACTTACATATTAAACAAAGATAAAATATATTTAATGTTTAGGAACTAATATAACTAATGATGTATTTAAAGTTGAGCACATGATTAAGCAGTTTCTTGGCTAGGGTTTAAGTTCCTGACAGGCATTAGAGTGTATGTTCCTCTTCTGATTAATATTTTTACTTGCTTTTGTAATTTTAAAAATTTGAAATATATCAGATTTTAAAATAAACCTGTTCTCATGGGAAAATGAAGTAAATGAGATTAACAATAGAAATTTCTCAACTAACTAAGGAATTACTGGATTAATAAGTTAAGATTGTAAAAAAACCCCAAATAGTACTGCACGATATGCAATATCCAAAGACAATTACTCTGAGTGATAAAAAGCATTACACAATAAGAATTCTGACATTGAGTAGGCTAACAAATTAAGTGTTTGTAATAGATGATGAGTAGCCCTTATGACATAAATGATTAGCTTTGAGGAACTGATAATATAACACCTTTTAATTTTGGCTTTTAAGATCAGAATAATACCTCAGACTAACACTTTTCCTTGCTATATTTAGGAAGACTAATGTAGCTCTGCAACAGAGAATCAAATGTGATTTGCAATAAGGAGATGAGTTAAGAAGTATAGGAAGAGACAATCAGTAAAAACATCTGTAACCAGCTTACGTCTCTGCAGGCTTGTTGACTGTATGTACCAGCAGCACCTCCCTGAGAAAAAAAAGAAACCAGTTATTTCTCATCTATAGTTGCTTAAGAAGGAAAGTCACACTTCAGACACCCTCAGTTCTGACTGATCCTTGTGTAAAGAATATATGATAAGGAGGGAATTGTAGTCTCCTCTATAAATGTGTGAACACCCACGTGTGAACATGAGTCCTTTGTCTGTCAGTGATTATCTAGTGGTACCCGGGAAACATTTTAAAACAGGACTTTAATAAATTATAAAGGTTTTATACAAAGCTCGTAATTCAAACATACTATGTATGTCATATGCACATGCATGTGAAAATGAGGAAGCAGAGAAACCCAAAAGAGACGAAAGCTAACATCTTCCTGACAGATAGTCAATAAACTATCAAATGTAAACTTTCAGCATAAATAGAAATACTTCCTTTTTTAACATAAGCCTCAATTGTTATTATTATTACAATCAAGTCTCAAAACCTGTAATTTTGTTTTCTTTGCAAAAACCCAATATACATTGTGATGAATTAATTTCATATTTTACAAGTACTGATGACGTGACTGTTTTACATTTTTACACAGTTTCATTTACTTTTTTTTTTTGTTTCTTTGATGAAATGTTTGGATTAAATAGAAATTTTTCACTAAAAAATAAAAACCTTATTTTGAAACTGCTGAAAGGAAAACAAAATAATTATATATGTATTTGCATCCGTACGATTAGTCACTATCTTGATAAAAATGTTTCAAGTAAGTCTTTGATCTATCCAGCACATTCATTACATTGCACTGTTGCATCTTTCACCTATTTCTGGATGACTGGCTTAACCTGCCCAGGATTCATAGCTGCACAGGTATCTCTGCTGCCTGAGAAATGAGAAACTGAAATAGCCTTAGTTCTTGCACAAGTCTGCGTGGTCACTTCTGCAAGGAGGAACTACCTAGAACCAGTCCTGTCTTGAGCAGAAGGAAGAACAGATACCTCGTACAATGAGTGTAATGTAAGTGCCACAGATAACCCCTTGCGGTCCTTTTTTTTTCACGATTCTATAATCTACATGTTTCTATTTTACTTTTTAACTTCTCTGTTTTCCAACTACTTAATATAATTGAATAAACTGTAATATTCATCCTCTAGATCTCTCCTCTTCATTATTTTCTGTTTGCAACACGAACTCCCACATGAACAGTCATATTAAATAATGCCACTGAGGGCTAGGAGTTACTGTAAATATGGTTATGCCGGGGACAAAAGAGTAAATGGAAGAATAGTGCTTACAGGGCCACATCCACTGTTGCTTATTGTGTAGACTACTCCACCCTGAAATAAAAGCAGAAGTCAATTATTTCCATGTGAAAACAAAAGGGGGAAAAGACAGAAAAAAACCAACAAACTCTGCTTTTCATGGCACAGAGAGCTGTGCAGCTGGCAATGTGTACGTGCTAGCAAGGGATAAGCAAGCACAGAGGTTATCAGTTCACTGGCAACTGCCTGTAACAATTCTAATTTAGCATAAGACATTAGTCATCATCTGGATTTCATATAACTTCCATATAACTCTGTCATTGGTCATGAAACCTTTCAAAATTTTACTAAATGGTTCATGTTTTTAAAAAAATTAAAAACTGGTTACTTAGCGACAAGATAAGAAACTCGGCTCTTAGAAAAGAATATGTATTATATATGAAAAAAATAATCTGCAGAAAATCAGTTTTTAGCATATACATCAAAAGAATTTGTATTTCTCATTATCTGGTAATTCCAGTTAGAAGTAGTAAAGACTGAAGAAATGTAATATTACTAGGTTATTCACTAATAACTACTAGTAAGTAGTAAGAAATATATCCTTGAGAAGCTCGGTTCAAGAAACTGGAGGCATACCAGAAAACAACTAAGAGTTAAAGGGTAAATAGGCAAATTCATGTAGACAGTAATGTAGTGAAGATAATTAACTAAAAGCCAAGGATATATTTCTATGAGCAATGAAGTGGAAGTGTCAAGTGAAAATGCAGACAATACATACCCCAGAAGTTTAAAAAGACTAACTAGACAGTGATTAGACCCCAAATTTTCAACTGCAAATATAATCCAGATGTTACTGGAGCTTTAATATAGGCACGAATATCTGGGGGAAATTTTGCAAATTCTTGTGGAAAAGACAGTGAAACACAAGTATATTTAAATCTTTCATTTTGACTATTAAAAAAGACGGAAAAAAAAAAGGAAAAATGCCTGATGAATTAAGAATAGGTACAGTTTCATTTTCATTATCCCAGATGTCACTAAAACTATGAAATAAATGGTTTGTGACTGTGTTTGTATGCACAGATGCACACACAGGTAGACAACTTCTAGGAAGATGGAAGGAATTTTTTTTTTTTCCTGAAAAGAGTCAGGTTAATGTTTGACAGAAATGATTAAATTGTGAAATCAGAGGTGGTGAAGCAGCTTGTAGGTAAAAATACTGACAGCAAGCTATTGAGTGAAGTAATTGAACTTAGTCCAGGTGCTGAACATACTGTTTACTGGATAAATAACTCTGCAATTCTGTGATAACTAGCAGAGAAGATATTTCAGTGCAGTGTTTAATCACCTCTACTCTGTAGTTACACCATTTTAGTCATTCAAGGTTACTAAAGGAAAACATACAAAGCTGGAATTTAGGGCTCATACCTGGCTGCCTGAATAGCTGCTCTGAGAAGAACCTGAAGGTCCAACCTGTAAAGAAACCAAAATGGTATTTAATATTTTGTAGGCAAATTATTTTATGTAAGTGATTTTCAGGAAAGAAAGTGCTACTTGGTGGGAAAAGGAAAAACCCAAGAAGTAACTACCTAAGACTTCATTCCACCAACTGATACTATCAAAATTATTTTAGAGATCTTTCAAGCCAAATAATTAAAACTATACCAAGCCAGCTGTTATAAGTAACATAATTCTGCTGTTTGCATCCTTTTTTATCAGACTTCATACAGTTTTGTCCATCACTGAGGAGGGAAACCCACAGTGCCACAAGTAGACTAAAGCAGACTGATGTAACTGTGTATTCACTAACATATTTGCTGCAAAAAAAGCAAAGAAGAAAAAGAGGCTTCTTCACTGAGCTGCAACTGATAGTTTTCAGAGGAAAAAAATCAAATTGTTATATTTTATATCTAGATCATGATTTGCAAAAGGTGAAGTTTTAGAGCTGTTGGAATAAGTGATCTTGAACAGCAAGCAACCACTAGGAATAAAAAGTGGACAGGAAAAAGAAAAGTTCTATTAGAAAGTTACTTCAGATTAGCTAGAGAGAACCTGCAGAAGGAACTGATATGCCTGACAGCCACTTAAAAGGTTTTGGATTTTAATCAACAAGGGTGAATTGCCAAAAAGGAAATTAAATTGAGTGACAAGAGGGATAAAGAAGTGACTAGAAGCAGTTTTTGACCAGGTCTTAAGATCTTGGGCAGTTAGCAGCATGTCAATGTCTGTAGAGAAAGGATATTTACCATGATGCATCGGCCTTGTGTCGTGTAAGTCCCTCCACGCTGTAAGAAAGTACAGGTTCCAGTTACTGGTTATTGAATGATGTACAAATACCAAGTTATTTTAAACAGGAAATCAACTAATTCACATTCATAGTCTGAATGAAGAAATCAAGTGTTCAATATAATCAATATATTGCTGATAATACATTACACACTTTAAGAATCTCACCTGAGAACTAATGTTAACTAATTAAAAATAACAATACCCTCAAACTGAATACAAAAAATGAAAGCATAAATGAGATCTTGCTAAGAAAGTAATTTGAATGGTACAATATAATCTTCACACTGCAAGCATGAAACAAGTGGACCAGGAGGAGAAGAATTCTAAAACTGAGGTAACTAAAAATTGGGAAATTGAAGAAAAATTGCTCTTACCTTGTTACATTCTATTTCGATCGTAAGCTGTTGGGGGGAAAAAGAAAAAAGGAGGAAGCATTTCCATATTATTTACTGCAGAAAAAAGCACATCTTACTATAGAAAACAGGAAATACTTTTGGTGAATGTGAGACTAGAGACAGGTTTTCACTCTTCTAGATCACAAGTTCATAAATCAGCGCTGCTACAGTCAAGAACCAATACAGTAGCTTTGAACAGGCTTTCTTTACTTAAGCTGCCAATCATGTTTAATATGTTTCATATAAGCATAATTCTTGGCAAAAATATTTAGCAAACCTAAAGATCATTTAGCAAACCTAAGTCCATGCTGCACAGCTATAGTTCCCAGGGACTGGGGCAGGAGTTAAGAACAGTACAGTACCCAGAACTGCAGGACAGTTCTCCTTATGGTCAATTTTCTTTTCTTTTTCTTTATGGTATGGGTTGTTTTGATAACTAGATTATTACCTTTCGTATTTCTGGGGGAGAAAAATAGTATTTGCTGTAATTTTCCTCATTTTAATAAGAGGATTAGGCAGATTAAAATTATTGAAAACATGTAATGATTTTGGCCATCAGTTAAGGACAACAAATACGTGTCTTGTATCAAGTCAAAGACACTTTAATTTACTGTATTAATTTCTAGTATGCAAATACACCAAAACATACCTTCCTTTTCCTTTTTTGTGTCCCATTTACTGACTCAGAATGTGTAGGTGTGAGAGTTTTGCTTTGAATTCCAACCCAAAAATTGTCTAGATTTTGAACAACAGTTGCACTAGAAAGAAAGCAAAAAAATAATTCTTTTTCTATCAAAATATTTCAGTATAAAATACCAATAAACTCTCCTCCCCTCTTGCCCCCAGCCAAGAAATCCAGTGTATTTTGGTTATAGGGGTATACAGTATAAGTTTCACAGAACACTTTTCCAGTGACTTGTATTGTCATCTGACACAATTTTGAAGATAAATGAACCCGATGCTGAAACAAGCAGAAGAGGAATGGACACTGTTTGAAGAAACACTGATCTCAGTGAAGGGTATCAACTCAAATGCCTGAGTTGTCACAACTCTTTCCTATTCTAACAATCTATATCAGTGATGGTGAATTGATTTTCATGGCATTAATGAGCGGAAGCAATTGTGGCTTTGTGTTCTTTTGCCCGTTCTTTGTATTCCTCAAGATACAATGAAGCAAGGCAAAGATGGCCCTTTCATAAATTTGCACTTCAAACAATTCAAGCTGTCAAATATTTAGATATTTCCCAATTACATCAAGTGTGTGGTTTTTTTAGATCAAGTGGTACTTTTACCACCTTCAGATCTGCAAGAAAAGTAGCATTAAAAGCAGGATAAATGTGTCTTTTACTGTTCTCAGGAGTTTTAGCATTTAGTTCATGAGTCATAAACTCATTTTCAAACTTGTATTAGAAGAATTTACATCAATTTACTATTCTTCCACTGTTCAAAACGAAAAAAGGTGTAACTGAGCAGAGCCTGCACTTCATGTATTAAGGGAACCGGTTACATTCATTTTGTTGCTGTTGTAATTAAAGAAGTCAAAGTGTAAAAACTGGTTTCTCAAAGATCCATTAATAACACTGTGCTTAATGGAATTATTTACATATATTAAGATCTGTAGGACAGTGTTTACCTTTTACACTATATCTTGAAATGGAAATCATTTTATTCAATAGACATAGTGGGAAGTTATGACAAACTATGAAAAAAATCATGATGGCAGCCAGACAAGAACATCAGAAACAGAAACACAGGTCCATCTCAAATTAATCCACAGAAATGAAATTTCTGGGGAAGAAAATAAATAAAAAAGAAAAATAATTATTTACAGAAATTGAATCTCTCCAACGTCAGGTGGAGCAATCCACGTTGTTGTAACTTTCTGTTTCACATCTGAATTTGCATGACTTATTGCTGAATTCTGCAATTAAAAATAAATAAAAATAATCACGTAAGATGAAAAAGTGATTTGACCTATATTATTAATGGAACTGTCTCTACTACAGCAGGTAACATTGATGTCTTCCTAAAAAAGCCAGGTAGTTTGTACATTAGATTCATATCACAGATAGAGGATACATGTAGTTCTTGAAAAAGTCTCATTTTTTTAAACGTTCTGATGAAGTAGCTTTCCCATATAAAAAATTCTCACTATTTCTATTATTTAAAAGTAATTTAAAGTATTCCAAAGACCAAATACATACCGTCATATTATGACATTCCAAGCCTTTGGTGTTTGGATCTGTAATTTTAAAAGTACCAACAGGAGTATCTCCATCTATTTCTCGAGCCTGTAGATTAAATCCTTTAAAACCAGCTTCTCTAAGTGCTTCTAGAGTCACTGTGAAAAGAGATATTTTGAGAAATTTAAGTTTCATATGCAACTAAAACCTCCTAAATGTGTAACATCTAATTTCCTTCACTCCAAGGAACAGGACTGCACATGTACAATTTTAAAAACCAGTTAAAAATTTTTTCTTAATTATAAGGAGAATGACTATAAAGGAAAAAATTTGGAGAGGGGCTGCTGTGTAAAGAAACTTGAAATTTTTGATTTACTGACAATTTTAAAAGGAATTCTGATCTACCAAATGATGAGTGGCCCTGCTGAACAAAAGGTTATTTATTTATTTTCTGTCTAATTAGGCCTACAAAGTCAAAATATCTACAGGAAAAAAAGAATTGCTTTTCTTTCCAGCTCTATTTTAAAAGAAAAGATTAACTTTTTCTGAAGGCTGAACCACAGACACATTTTCATTAAAATGTATTATGATTGGAAAGAGAGAAACTAGACAGTTCCACTTTCATGTTCTATATTAAGTAAAAAAAATTCATAATTATATGAGCTACCCAATTTAATTCAACTTCTGTTACTGAAGGAGCTCAGAAAAATATGGGAAAGAACAGTCTCCTGTTTTATTTATATCCAAACAGAAATTAAACTTCAAAAGGCATAATCAAATTTGTTATGGTCTACTAAAACTTTGATCTGCTAATTCCATTATTAGGCACTTTTGCAAATAAAATCAGAATAATGGTTTATGCACAAAGGTACGTGTACTCATTAAAAATAAAGAGGGATGAACTGGAATGACACAGAGGTCAAGGCAAGGACCAATCCTACCCTGATAATGCAACATTTCCAAACACCTGCATAATTAGCCTTCCAATTTGTCATCAATTTTCAGTCCTAATTCACTAATTTTCCCCAGGTCTCACAGAAGCAATGACATCCAGAACTTGAATGCAGTGTTAAATCAAGCAGAGATGAGACTATAAGAGTGTTGGCACATGGAATGCCCCGGGTCAAACTGCAATAAATTCAATGGAAGGGCAACCTAACGCAGCTCCCTGAGACCAGGTACTGGGTGCTCATAATTTGAAACCATAGAAAAGTAGTGGTAAAAATAGGCATGGTTAAAATAAAAAAAAAAAAAAAAAAAAAAAAAAAAAAGGAGGAGAATAAAAGGCAAGGCTAGTAGCATCTGGGATTCAATATTTTTCTCATTATAAATTCCATTTTACCCCACAGAACTGTCTGTATGTACTTAACCCACCATCTTTCTGTCAATACCATTTTAGAAGTAGCTATCTGCAATCAAAAAACTCTCCCATCCTTGAAGGAGCTATTCATATGTTTTTCCAAGAATAGCAGCTATAACAGGACTCGGATGCTTCTCCATTCTTTTCCCCTTATGTATCATTCTCTGTGGAAGCCACATTCGTGCTACAAGGCTCAAGTAAAACAGCATCCCAGCTAGACAGTAGCTACTCAGTGAATAATGAATGCTCTTCTTCAGCTTCTGAGATACAAAAACAGACGTGTAACAGGTTACAACTCTCTCCCACTTCCATGCCCCTTCTAGCATGAATGGTCAGAAAAAGAAGCATTCACAAGTCACTTGAAGTGTGACAGCACCATGGGATGGCATCACAGTGTGGAGAAACAAGGCTGATAAAGTGTCTCATCCAGAGAGCAATTTAGGATTAGGAAGATAAAAAGGTGGTTTAAACCATAATAGCTCCACCCCTTGCAATTTGATAAAATCTGGGATACAGCTCTTAGAAGGATGACTCAAAGTGTCTCACTCCTGAGTTGTCTCATACTGCGTCCTAAATTTTTATTTTCCTCAAAGATGACAGCATGTGAAAAACTAATGAGTAAGATCCCTTTGTATTGCAGAGGCCTGGTCCGACAGCAAATACTCAAATACAAGGTTAATGAGCAACTAATTATTAGTCCAGTTTGGCCAGCTGTCCCATTTAATTTTAATTTTGTCACACAAATTACAGCATAAAGTTAAGAGATATTTATTAGCTGGAAAAAAGAAAGAATACATTTTGAGTTATACATACATATATAAAACCATTAAAAATATAATAATATATCAGGTATAGATCAACAAGATTGAAGTTAAAAAGTAAATTATCCAGACTGAGAAGGAAATAGGGGAATTTTTATGAAGACTGGTAATTCTGGAAGACACAAAGGTGTTATGTCATTGAGGTTATTTACCTTGGACTTCATTTCCTGGCTCGAAGTTATCAAAAGATACAGCAATAATATATGGTGGTGCAGATGTCTGTGGTTCAGCTTCATAGTTTGGTAGCAGAGAATCACAATCGATTGAGGTGTTTGTCTGTGGAAAACTGAGGATTCCAGGCAAAAATACCCCACAGAACAAAAAAACAAAGCAGGAGGGTCTCTTCATCTGTGGAACAAAAAGACAAGATAGTTCATAGTAACTGCTTTTTAGTAGTTGTCATGTTTGACAAATATTGGCTTTTCTCCAGGACAGGAAACAGAATGAGCCGTGAAAGCTGTGCTTGCTTTGCATTCATGTATTTTGAAGAAAATATATTAAAGTAAAATACTTCTGTACACTGGCAGAGCAGCGCAGTGAGAGGCACAAAAAATTTCATTTTAAAGTACTGAATTATTAATGGAACTTTCAATTCTCTGGTTACATGACAGCAATCCATTAACAGCCATGTCTGCTGCGTTACACCTTTGAACTAGAGAAGTCTTTAAACAAAGTTCCTCAGTGTTGCATTGGCAGATTGAGCTCAGCGCCTTGGTTATTCCAGAACTAAGATGCAATCCTTGTTCTCTCAAACTGGAGATATAACCATGATTAGCATACTCTCTTTTGACTGCTTTTCCTACTCTCAGTTCCAAGGTATAGTTAAGAAATCTAGTCAAATGATTCTTGAAGGAGGTAACGATAGACTACTGCAAAGTCCTCTGGAACTTCTAAACAATTTAAAAATACTAAATTGCCAGAGCATGTTTCTTATGGGCAAAGAATAAACTATACCCAGTAGAGAAATTCACAAACTGTAAATAAGAGGCAGGACTCAGTTCCAGCCTTCAAGGACTGTCTGTGAAAGGAAGATGTATTTTCTTTATAATTCACTTGTAGGACTGACACTGATTGTAAACTGTTTCCAAGAAAAAAAGGAAACATTTCCCAATAGTATTCTCAGTTGTTTAATATCAGATTTTATGGCCCATGTCCAAAGTCTAAACATTTAACCATGGCACCACGTAATTTGCCAGGCCATTACATCTTACAAATAACTCACTGTTCCAGCTACAAAAATGCTGATACAACTGTTAAATCACAAGAAGTATTTAATGATTGCTGTCTGCTATAGGATTGCCTTGTGTGACACAACAGACAGTAACAAAGAATGGAGATATTTACTTTAGATTTTCTAAAGCATTTCAAACACCATTTGTTTAAGAGGTATGTTCAATTTGTATCATCTACCTGTGTGTCTTAATTTGTGCATGAAAGTGTAAGACCATTTGGTTTTGCATGTGCTAGTAAAATAAGTAACAGAAGCATCTGGAAGCAGGGGAAAAATACACAATTCCAAACACCCATGTACTTAACTCTGAACTTAAACAAAATTTTAAAAAGCTACTGAGTCAGCAAATAATAAAACAGGTGACTGTGAAGTGTTGAAAAATTTCCTATAAGAGGAGGAGGAGGAGGAAGGTTTGCATGGTGTCCCAACCAGTCAGTGCAGCAATCAGGAAAGCGATATAAGCTTTAAAGCTTTAAGTGTCTTTAAAGCAGATGTAGACTGTTCCTCTCCAAAGTCTCATCAAAGTGTCACTTCAACGGGATCCTGGTAAGCATTATGTTTTGGTATCAGTACGCTGGGTGTGGTTATCCAATCTTTGGTGACGATTTTGACATGGCCCACCTCTAATTAAGTTTTAAATACAGCATGTAGGTGCTATTATATCAACAGATGAGGTAAACAGTGATTTAATATGAACCTGTCCATATGTTGTTGAAATCTTTTCTGACTCATGGAGAGACGGAAAAAAAAATCTGTTTCTAATTAAATGTTCTATTTCAAAGCACAAAGTCCTTAGTTTAGCCAGGACTGGAAAATTGTCTGGAGCTGCTCTCTGCCACAAAAGAAAACCAGTCTGAAACATCCTTTCCTCTTTTTCTAGCTAGAAAAGAACCAGAAACACAAGCACAACAAGTTGAAACATGGCTGAGATGCCTTCTCTTTGCATCAGCTCTCTGATTTAACAGTTCAAGAGGTATCCTAAGAGTCTCATCATGCCATCTTTTGGAACTAGGTTTTAGATGAGGAAGATATACAGTGTCTTACAAAATCCCAAGTCCAGACTTGAGGCAGAAAATAACTTTCATGAGCTCGGAGTTCCAACACATATTTGATGGAATCATGTTATCTAGCATCACAAATTTACCTTTTCTCCATGAAAAATGTAAAGAAACAAAAAGTAAACATTTATAAAATAGAAGCATAGGGAATATTTGTAAGACAGAAGCATAGGAATATTATTTTAAAGCTTCTAATTGAGTATAATTATGAAAAATTAACTCTATCCCCAGTTCCTTCATCTGATGGAAAAAATTTAATTAGTTTTTATCACAGATTCAAACCTTTCTTCCTATGAGTCTATGTGGACCTCATCTACGTGGCCATCATCATCACCTGAGTTGCTAACTTAAGAATCCTCTTCCATATTTAGTCTAACACGACTTCAGGCCAACAATTAAGTCCCAGAGTGACACTTAGCTACTGTATTCAAAGTCTACTGGACTCAGAAAGACACACTTTGGTGGTTTGCCCCTCCAGAGCCTTGGGCAAATTTCTGAATAGAGACAAAAATTGTTTTAAAAGCTTTTAAATGTAAAGCATTTAATTAACAGGATAAAAACCTTTCTGTAATTTGAAAAACACAGTCCTGGCAAGTCCTGCCAACAGTTTAAGACTAAGTGCTGTATGCCCCTTTCTAATCACATTCTTTACAAGTATTTTCTCCTTTCTTCTCTTCTCCTAGACACTCTTGATGAGCCACAGACTTACTCTGTAGCGTTTGAGAATAAGTATCCCCAGTTAGTGTGACCCTGTCCACCACATCCCCACCAACACACCTTATCCACCAAGTGTTGATGCGTGGGCATCCTCCGGTCCCTCTGTGGTCAGTGTGGAGGAGCTGCAGCCGGGCAGTGCAGGTGTCCCAGGAAGATGAGAGAGAGGAGATGGAAGGCTTGGCCAATCCGTGGCAGGGCGGGGAACCAGCGCGGCCAATCCGGGCCAACTGCGCCTCTGCCGTGGAAATTGGGACACCACAGGTGGGACTGTCCTGCCCAGAGCTGGTGGTGACAACACACTCCTCTTGGGTGAGTCACGCCCCCTCTGACCTTTATCTAGGCATCTGGCATAGGAAGGGCCTCTGAGGGGTGGTAGCCTAACCTAGTATGGGGACTAAAATCTACAGAATTGTGCTATACAAAAAACACCTTACTAATATTTCCTGAGCACTTCCAGTAAAATATTTACATCAGTCTGTTACCTGAGAGTATTCTGCTGCTGGTTTTTCACTTTTTTACTTTTTTCTTACACTTGGAAAAGACATGGAAAATTCCAATCACTGTAGTACTGCCAAGCGTTTTCTCAGAGCAAAGAATTAATGAGGTTGTTTCATCTTATGTACCTTGTGGGAAGGAACTGAAGTTATTGCATCTGACCTGCATTCAAAACTTTTTTTTTCTTCTTCAGAAGCATTTCCATAAGGTATCTACTGAAGATGGGGAGAAGTCCAAAAGCTGGATGACATATACAATAGAATAGATTATCTTCAGTTGGATGGGATCCACAATCGTCCACGTAGCCCAACTGCCTGACCACTTCAGGCAAGGGTCAAAGCATGTTGTTAAGGGCATTGTCCAAATACCTCTTAAACACTGACAGGTTTGAGGCACTGACCACCTCTCTAGGAAGCCTGTTCTGGTGCATGACCACCCTCTCAGTAAAGAAGTGCTTTCTAATGTCCAGTCTGAACCTTCCTGGCACAGCGTTGAACCATTCCCACACCTCCTATCACTGGATACCAGGGAGAAGAGATCAGCACCTCCCTCTCCACTTCCCCTCCTAAGGAAGTTGTAGAGGGCAATGAGGTCACCCCTCAGCCTCCTTTTTCCAAACTAGACAAGCCCAAAGTCCTTCACTCTTCCTCACAGGACATTCCTTCCAGCCCTTTCACTGGCTCTGTTGCCCTTCTCTGGACACATTCAAAGACCTAAACAATATGACAGACATTCCTATTGAATCAGGGAATTCTGTGATTCTATGATACCAGGAAATCTATGAACAAACGACTGTTCACAAGAACCTTCTTTAGTTCCTTGATATTTGTGCACTTAAAATATATTTAAATTCAAAATGCTGACAGCATTTTTAGAACATTATCTATTTTTAAGATTCAGTGCATAACTGTATTCTCTTTCAGTTAACCACTTTAAAATAATGAGCAACATTTTATTTACGTTGTTCTATTATGAAATACATTGTTCCCTATCTGTACTATCCACTGGGGAAGAGATCATAATCCTTGTTCTCTTACTATACCACCAAACTTACCATTAATACCAGTGTTATAAATAGCAGTGAAAAATCGTGCTGCACACCACAAATGCAACAGCATACCAGTAACACCACCAAATAAATTATACAGTAAAGGAATGTCAACTGCTCACACCAGAAACACAAAACCAAAGAGATGGGATCTCACAAATACGTGTATGCAAAACCTCCCTCACTCCCAGCTTGGAGATACTGAGAGGTAAGCAGAGGGATCAGAACTGTTTCTCCAGGCTACTCTGAGCAGCAGTGAGTACTCCATGAATATTTGATTTGACAGGCAGATAGATAAATGTCAGGCAATGAATTGCTGTAATCTCGGTAATACGGTTATAAAGAAGCACAGATAAGACAAGCAGTGTACTTCTGCTGGCTGTAGTGCTAATAAAATCCTACATTAAATAAGCTGGTAAGGACTCAGACCATTAGTCTACAGCGTGAGAGTTGTAAACCTGCGTCCCTCTTACACAACACACTGCTTGTGGTTTGTTTCAGAGGAACAGTATTCCCACCGAACCAAACACAGAACACTGATTCAGTACTAATTTACCTGTACTGTGGAATTGCCAATAAAAAAAAAAAAAAAAGTTCTTTTCAGGTCTCCACACTTGAAAGGACAATTTTAAGATCATAAATGAAATACCAACTGAAGAAGGGGTGAACTTCTGACTCTAGTGAAACCATGATTACAAAGTTTGCTATGTACTCAAACATATGTGCCAGTGCAGATCAACATCGCTGTACGCCCATGGACTTCTCTGGTGCTTGGAATGCCTTCAATGCAAATTCTCGTGGGAATATTATCTTCTTTTTTTTTTTTCTTTTTTTTTTTCTTTTTTTTTTTTACCTCTGATTGTATGGTAACCCATATAGATTTAGCTGGTCTTTCCTTAAAATCATCACATTAGAACAAGCCAGGGAACACAGCAGAGAGGCCAGAGCCCACAACACTGAAAGGAAAGGGATGCCTACTGGGCAGTGCATTAAAATTTTAAAGGGTAAGTGATGGACAAAGAGGAAGCCAGCTACTCACCTAAGCAAAAGACTACTTATTGGAATAAAGGACTGCAAACCCTGTCAGATTTTCCTAGAACCCTTTTGTTTCTATTTAAAACTCATTTAAACCAGATCAGACTAAGCAGCCCTCTTCCTTCTTCCTCACAGACATTAGGACTTCCAGCCACCTTCATGACCTTCAACAGCTTTACACTTACTCTCTGCAACACCTGAGCCAAAGATTATTTTTGTTCTGGCAGTTTACATTTCAACTGGAAATGCTAGAAAGCATAACAAAGCTTCAGCTGATGTCAGCAGATACATATGAATAACAAGGTAAAATATGTGAGTTATTTTCATCAGGGTCTGGTATCCTCATCAAACTGATTTGCTGTTTCTGGTCCACAGTGGTGATAAACCACTGAGTCTGGGACTGTGCAGGAGAACTGACAAGCTATTTGCTTGGATACATCAGATGTTCTGGAGACAATGAATGGTATAATGGTAGCCACTCCAAAATCATCTCAGAGAAAATGTGCATAACAAGTGGTCTTACAGGTATGAAGCGCTGAGTTTAGAGCCATAGACATCTTTTGTTACGTAGCTCAAACTGATTCTATGGAACAATAAAAGTGAGTAGGAAGGGAGAGAAAGAAACTTAATTTCTTCCAAACACTATTTTTCAAGATTCTGAAAAGAAAACAATTTCTGAACATTAGGGTTTAGAACATTCAGAACATCTTTACTCCTCTGGAGTGCCAGCTGCCTTATCAAACTCTTCCAGTTCTTTTTTTTTGTTTTCTCCTTACTCAAACAGGGAAGACCAAGATTAATCCCTATAAATGTTAAAAATAAAATTTGCTCTCCTGACATCTATTTTGACAACATGAGAAACTTCTATAACATCCCACATTTCATCTGCAAATGAAAGTGGTTTCCTCCATGTACAGTATTAGTGCTATAAGAGGATGTTATCATTGCTGCAATCCTCCAGCATACTTTCTGTGTATAACTCGTAACCACTCAACTGAAGTTGCTTTGAAACACATTCTAGTCTAAATTTAGTGGTGAGGATTCTTAGCAGCTATGTGAATTGTATCAAAATGATTAGATGAAGAGATAGATTTATTTACTTTTCCTTCAAGAACAGTGTCTTCTACCTTATACTAGCATGTCAGTATTTATATTCTGTTTCCAAGGTCTTTAAATATTGCCACATTTTTTATTTATGAAGGAACATTTTGCTTCCTATGCTCAGTAAATAGATTCCCTTCTTGAAAATGCACCAACATATCATATAGTAGAATTACGTACTGCTCAAAATAGCTCTAGCTGTAAATATAGTCTTACTCTTCAGAAAAATAATATTACATTAAAACAGTACACTGTGAGAGCCAACTAAAATTTATGTTGTATAATTATTACTCTTAAGGAAATATATTAAATGTAATTCTCGATAAACATTACTTCTGACAGTTCAGAAAACCACACTTTTCCGGAAAAAAAAAAGATATTAAAGTTCCTGTTTTCCATATATTAAAAAAATTCAACTCTGTTTTGTCTTTAATTTCTTGCCTTTGCTCATGCTAGCACTTTTCCTGTGTGATTTAAACTCTGCCAACATTAGTGTAAGTCTGATACTCCATAAATAACAAAAATGGTTCACACCCCGAAAGTCGTAGTTAGATGATGTCAGTGGGAGCCTTACATGAGAATTAGTGAGCAAAAAAGAGGTCTGACTTGACTACAAAAGAGTAGGAAGGGAGTGATCAAACAGATTACTTCTACCAAACCTTTTCTGCCACAGCAGATGTGAGGGTGAACACAACTGTGCCCAGCTCATGGTGTCCACACTTTGCTCAGGAGAAACCCCTGACAGGAGCAGCACACACAGCAGCGGTGACATATGGGCATTGCATCACCTTATCTCCCGCATTGGGCAAGCCAACAAACACTATTGTCACTATGTGCTTTTAAGGTGAGTGCTTGGGTGTGGCTGCAAACTTAGGCAATGCTTCATATAACTTCATATAATGTGGCTACCATCTGTTAGTGGTTTACCAGACTCTAAATTCAGATTTAAGTAAACCTAAACATCCATCAATGGAATTGAAGGCATGGTAGTAGAGGCATTCCACTACCAAAACAGGCAGTCCAAAAGAAAAGTAGAGCCTTAACACTAACAATCAAAATTCACTGTTTTCACAGTCACAGAGAAGTTAAATGATCTCACTCACATCACCTACTGGTATTACTGAAACATTCTCTTTTAATGTAATTTGTATTTATAGATCCAGAATATTTCAAGTACAATTTAAACATGTTTACAGGTTATTCACAAGTCCCTATGGCCTAGAGAATTCCCCTGTATAGTAGAGTTAGTGCAATGCTCATGAATGCATGTGTGGTCCACTTGTGACTGAGCGGCTAGGGTTTAGAAATGTAAATTCAGCTTCAGAGTTTCTACCAATCCAACAATATTGGCTCAAAAATTGCATTATCTAAGTGATACAAAGCTGACTGGTATAAACTCACTTTGCTGATGCACCCTCATTCATTCAAAAATTCTAGCTGCTTAGGTTAATTGAATTTTGGCTTATTTGATAGACACAATTCTGTAACTGATATCTATAAAACCTGATCTACTGTGTGATCAAACACGGCATGGATCTGTTATTAATAAGCACAGAGCTGCAGCTTATAAGAGTTTCTTTCAAGTTCTTAAGTTTGAAAGGAAAGGAGGAGATGCTCTTACTTGTGGACACTCTTTGGAATTCAAAATCAACTTTAAACATTTACTATCCACATCTTCGAAACTGTAACTAAAGGAAGTTTATTACTTATCTTTACATCAGTCTATACAGGT